TCTTTAAGTTGTACGTGGGCTGAGAAAGTTTCGGCGGAAAAGTCGCTAACTCGGAAACCAGAAAGCTATAAAGCTGAAATTTTGAGGGGATCCCGAGTTGGCGACTTTCCCGCCGAAACTTTCTGCGTACACGAGGCCCAGATATGTGTGAGGGCTGTCACCGCGGTCCTGGAGTGGTACTTGGCCGTGGAACCTAAAACTTTAGCGTCGGAGCTTGTCTGACTGCAGAGTTGAAATACTTGGAGAGACACGCCCACACACGCATACAAACACAGACGCATACAAACAGAAACACATACAAACATACACACAAACGCACACCGGGGCCGTCACAATATGCGTTTTTGCATTTGCATATATGCAAAAACGCACAAAACGTGCGTCGATTTTGCGCCCCTCAGAGAACACACGGCGCAGTGTGACAGCTATAAAAGCTAAACCGACTTGAACAACATCGACTAAATGAATATTCAGCATGGAGAAGCGGGGAAAAGGGCTTCGAAACAAACCAGCATGATCTATGAGCCACTAGTATTAACTGGTCATATATAAACAAATTAAAAATCCAACTGGCTGCAACAGAATGTTAGCACAACTGAAAAAAACGTGCTCAAGCTGGCAAAAATGCTAACTAAAGTTTCGGAATAAACTTTGCCAAGGGAAACGGCCAAACGACGAAATAACGTTTAGCCATTTCTAATTTCACAAACAGTGTTTTCTTTGAAAACAACAACTGAGACCAGCCACTGAGAACTGCAAAATGAACGATAACAGCCACCTAGAAAATTTGAGTAAACACTCTTGCACCTCTTGTTAACGGATTTTCACTTTTCCAATTCACGCAGATGTCCTTAAAACCATCAGTATAGCTACACTTAGTGATGAACTTGTTTTAGTTATTCACAAAAACATAGATCAAACACATTTATAGTAGGCCACAAAAATTCACGCGTAAAAAGCAGCCCCTTTCATTTTCATGCTTTTTTGCAGTGCAACGCTATAGCATTGCTATAGTAAGCAGAAATGCATATTGTCAAGCGTACTTCCTGTAT